GGTCAAATTCACAGAGTAAGAAAATGAATACCTTCACCTTATAAGACAGAAATGTTATGAACTGTATGTTGTTTATTAAAAAAAAAAGTGTAATGTATGTAAATTTCAATGCCTTGAGAAGCATTTCTTGGCATGTAGTTGATGTAGTCACTACAATTTTAATCTTAGCTACGAAGTCTTAACTTATATGAGTTTTATGGAGAAGTTGCACCAACCCCGTTTTATTGAATTTCCATCACTTTTTTGTCATTTTTAATCCTTGATAGGCGAAATTTATAGGTCTTTTTTTTTTTAACAGATAGGGCTGTCCATTTCCAAATAATTTAGTATTCGATTATTTGAAACTGCGTTTGACCGAATATTCGAATATTCGAAACTAGGCGGTCAAGTTTACACATACCGGCCGCAACTGCGCGTCGCACCTGTCAAAAGTTGCCATGGTTACACGCAAAGCGCGCTGATTAGAATTTGCACGTGGTAATCGATGTTATTGGCCGCACAAGCGTTTTGCAGTAAGTATTTTAATATAACTGTCAATGGACGATGAACCGCCGTCGACAAAACAAAGTTACTTTCAATAAAAAGTGGCATCTGACAATGAAGCGCAGCAACTTTACAATTAAATCAAAGTCACAGTCGTGTACGTACACGCATAGTTTTTATCTTTCGATATTCAAACCAGCAAAAAGAATATTCGGTTGATGATCAAATATTCGGTATTTTTAGGGCAGCCCTCTAGCATCCCAAACCAGTCCACGGAGTGCTGTTGTTTTAATATTCCTTTTTTTTTTGCTTCATGTGTTTCCCTGACTGTATTCAACTTGGTTTACTTCAAACGTCCCACTGTTGTACTTTGAAGAGAAAACAGTACTCCGATTTGTAGATTTCGACAGTATCACAGTGAAATTGTATTCTTGTTTGTGTAAAAAAAAAAAAAAGAAGTAAGAATTGGTTGTTAGATCTAATAAAATAGCATCTGTGAAGAAACACGAGTTATACATGTAATGGCAAAATATCATAAATGTAGGACATGCAACAGTAGTTTGTTGATTCATTCACCAACCGTTATAATATTTGTGTAACTGTTGCATGTTTCATTTGTACTCCATCCCAGGGCAATAATATTTCTAATCTTTTTTGAAATATTAATGAGAATGTATTAGATTAATTTTCATTGTGTGTATTCCAAAAGAGAATGAGTAATGTATTCTGCTTTGAGGCTCAAAAGGACCAATATCATGGTGTTGACAGGAAAAATAGTTTTCAAAAACAGCGCTGACTAGCTTTGGGTTGTTTTTTTATTATTTTAAGGGACAAAAGCGCCCAAAATGTCGAATGTAATATCTAAAACTTGTTTTTAATTTGAATGAGAATTTCATAAAATTATGTGTAAAAAAAAAAAATTGAAATGTATTTGTTGGTATCAATCACCATACACTTGCACCTGCAAATTTAAGGGTAACTGCACTCTTTAGCAGTGCTATGAAATTGACCCACATGTGTTTTTTGTAGTAATGGTAATGGCTGTTTTTTATTCTGTGCATTGGGTAAAGCTAAGTGCTTTTTATTCCCAGGTTTAAAAAAAAAATGTGAATCACTGTGTGCACTGTAGCGTGTGATAGCAATACATTGAAACTTTAATTAAACAGTGAATGTGTCCTTCGTCCTTTGTTCAGCCTGTCTGTTCAGATGTATGTCTCTCATATTAAAAAAAATACCAGTGAAAATACAACTCCCTTTATCATTAAAATTCTTGACCAAATTCAGCATATTTGTTGTTAATCTGTGGAGTAGTAAATTAACATGGATTGGACAATTATTCAAGGTCAATTTTGGCATTGTACTATGCCGGGAACGAAGATTCGCTAGCTTTTGCCCATATGAAAACAAGGTGATATGGTACATTATATATAATCACCACTGAAGCCCATGAGAGTCTGAGAAATTTTCCGTTTTGTAGTCGTGATGCTGCTTATAATGTATGAAGACGGTAATTTTAAGATACAATAGGCAGCCGGAATTCAGTGTACTTGCTACATCACCAGAACACCTGCCAACAATTTAATATGCGATGGCCTTTGCAATGAGGATTGGAAAGAGGGTGATCTGCATAAAATATCCTGCAATATTCTTGAAGGGTTGTGATGAAAGGGATTACTTTAAATCTGTCTTGGTTGCCTGGCTTATCTTTGAATCGTAAATTCTATTAATTGTAAATTGTTTAATCATTAATTACATGACATTGGCAACATGAGGTAGAATTGGCCCAAGTCTACAGTACAGTTTTGAAATTTATTTGTGGGACTGGGAACGAATAAAAAGTATTCCAAAGAAAATATTGAAGTTATTGATCGAAGCATTATTTTTCTCATTTTTAAAAATGCAAAATACTAAGCAAAATAAAAATGCATAATAAAAACAATGTACGTAGGCACGAGAGGGATTTGAACCCTCGATCTTCTGTTTACGAGACAGACGCCTTGCCACTAGGCCACCGCGCCAAGCCGTCGAAGAGGGCGTAACAGACGTATATAAACTCGTGCATTTGCGATTACAACGTAATGACTGGTACCCTGCTATATTCACCCATTTTTCCCAAATGTTATTTTCTTTACGTTATGTGTGCTTTACGCACAGCCCTATCCACACGTAGATTCCGATTAACATGATTATCCCACACTGCTTTATTCTTTAGTTCTTAAAAGCTCTAATGTGGGTGTGATAATTGCTATTTAGTAGGAACATCCCGAGACATTAATTAATTTATTTAGAACTAGTTTACTGCTTACCAGCGAGATGAACAGCGCCACCTATTGAAAATAGAAAAAAAATTGTTCGGACAGCGCCATCTATTGTTTCCACGTATGATGTGTTATTGAACTACTAGGAGGATGGGAGTTAGCTGTGCCTTTAAAAGTATAAAACTTTAAAGGAGAAAAAATGTCGGAAAATTAAATTCAAACAGTTGATGCAGTGGTTTTCTTGAAAATTTCGGCAGTAGAAATAAAAAATATAAACATTGGCACTGTTTAATTCACTGGTACTGCGGGCCTACTTAAGTTGGTCCGTGTAATTGCATCAAGATCGATCACCTAAAGAAGAAAAATAGCTCCGGGAAATAAGACGAGGAGCTCGCGTGATTAAGGCCCATTATCATATCTTTTAAAAACAATGCAGCATGCAAAGTGTATATATTAGGTTTCTGCATGACATTGATCAGACCCTTCTCCTAATGGAAAACAAACCGGGAAAATGCTAAAATAAGTAAATTAGCCCTGCCATAGCAAAATAATTTATGAGCTAATAATGCAACTTTTGTATCCAATAAAATACATCCCAGAGTCATGGATGATTGGAGGAACAAGGCATGAGGCTTCATGCAGAGAGAACTATTAGATACTGACTCATCAGAAAGGCGCTTCAAGCTGCAAAAAACCTGAATGAAAACTACAGCGAAACGGTTATTGAAACACTTGAACATTACGATGTTGTAACCTAAAATTAAAACAAAAAGCATCAATTCATGTGTCCCAAAAATTCACCAGTGCGGACACGGCTTAAGGCCTTCGCTACACCGTATACCACCGCCCCGTTTTTGGCCAACAGGCGGGCGGCCCAGGCCGGGGGCAGAGTTCGAAGGACTGCCATCTCTCCCTCCCGCCCCCCCCCCCTTCCCTCTCCGGGGCCCTCCCAATCACGCGGTAATGACGGCTCGAAGGCACCGCCTCCCTCGTGCGCGTGACGTCTTTGACTCATCGACATAGGATGCAGATTTTAAAAATAAACCCGCCACCAGTCTGAGGATATAGGTTTCGTAATTATAATGGATAGCGGTCAATAATTTTGAAGCTTATAATATACATTGTGCATGTACTTGTAAGGGCCACTGATACTAGTGACCGAGCTTTGTAGACCCGCCGCTGCCTGTTCGTTATGCATGGCGCAAAGTGTGCTCGACTTTTGATTTTTTTTTCTTTCCCATGCTGAGTTTTGACTGGAAAATTTAGGCCTGGAGAACGGTCATGAGGTAAGTGACATAATTCTATATGTTTCGAAATATTTAAGAATATTTTTTTTGCAGTACCACTGTATTTCATTATGTTATTAAATTTCAGAGCTAAATTAAATGAAGGGAGTGAGGTTGCCAGCAGTTTATTACATGAATAATTGTTATGGGTTTATCGAGTATCGGGAAGGATCAGTTTTCCTATATTTGAATGTTTTTTAACTATAAGTGCAAGAGATGATGGCCCCAAACCGGTCTGCCAAACTTGACAGGCAGATATTGGGTGAAGAGGTATGGGTCCGAGATGCAACTTTCAGTATTAGATGAATTGAGGAGGATCTAGACTTCAAAATAATAATAAAATGGCTATTTTATTACATTTCGTGTAGGTTCGTCCATAAAAGTTTCCATTTGGAATGAGCCCATAAGCGGCGGAACCGGGGGGGGGGGAGGGGGAACTTGCCCCCCCCCCCCCAGAAAGTTTACACAAATGCCCAACGAGATGAAAACAAAACTTGCCTTTAAGTTAAAATTTCGGCTTATTTGTTTTCAGTATAACCATTTTGCTGCACCGACGGAAGATGCCTTTTACTGGCAAGTGCCCTGTACATAGCCTAAGCCCCGCCCAACAAAATTCACAGTCGATAACTTGTTCTTCTCAAACAAACAATGTGGTTTCCCAGTTTCCTGGGGCTATAGCTTCGGGGAAAATAAAGTTAACGTCATTGCTTTGGAAAAATGACAACAATAAACACCAGTTTGTGTTATCTCTCATTAACTTTGTCTTTGTTTATTCATTCACAGCTTTATCCGTGGTTTCCTATAAATTCCTGGGGCTTCGGGGGAAATAAGGCTATCGTCATGCTTTGAAAAAAATGACGACAATCGATCAGTGAACACCATTTTTATTGTCTCGTTAAATGTCTTTGTTTCATTGCCAGAAGGAGACTTGCCATATAACAAAGACGTTTTGCCGGCCAAATTTAATCGCTCGGTCGGGTCAATCATCAGTGATCATCTGCGCAGATAGGGCGCCAATCCCAGAGCCAACATCTTGGAAAATTGCAGGACTCGAGTTGTAACGCGGAAAATGTGCAATAATGATTGAGAGTTGTATCTGCGGTGTGCAAGGAGCCCTATCGAGATATCACAGAAGGCTTGCGGACTCCAAAAGATCCGCCTGGCTCCGCCGAGTTATGAAGATGGGTAATTATGTTGAGCACGATTTTAATTCATTCAACTCCATGGTGATTTGGTGGTACATTCAACGTTGGCAAAGACTGTCCAGGGATACAGGGAGTCATTGAATTTACGGTCATTCAGATTATTTACTATTATTTAAAAAAGAAAAGATTTTTTTTTTTAATTCAAACTGAATCGTAAACACGGTAAGGTGTATTAAAATTATAGGGAGCAGCCTGGTTGCCCAAGTCGGCGTACAGTTGCAAAGTACCCCAACCGCGCAAGCGCTGCCTACACGAAGATCCCCCTTTTATTTTTGATGCGGCTTCGTAATAGTATCGTGATTCGGCGAGTAAAATAGAATAAATTATGGTCGTACAAAAATAGAAAAATTCAAAAAAAAAACGCCGTTGTGAAATGAAACAAATGGAACGGACAACCCCCGCACCGCCGTACAGCTAGCTAGGTCTACACTTGCACTCGCATATATCATGCATGCAATTTGAACGAGGATGTCGAGTGACGTCAGCCAATGAAGATTAGAAGAAAATCGCCATTTTGGAATGGTCGATAGCGTAAAGGTGTCCCGTGCAATCCGTGCTCTATCCTGCCCATCCAAGGAATTTATGTTAGTTTTATTGTGATTTGAGCTAGTTCAGACCATAATAAGTCTGCCCTGAATATTGTTTGACAAACGCACCATGGCCGGTAAGTGCAAACTCTTTTAAAATATTGAGTTCACGTAAACGGAACACAAGTATTGCTGTGATTTTATGCATGCTAAGTTACCGTACATATGTACATGTAGGCTACACACTCAGTATCGTACTCGTACTAGTCGTACAGTCGTAGTTCGTACAGTCATGACAGTTCAGTGCTTAATTTGTATGTGCTGTGGTAAAACTGCACACAATGTATTTCTTCAAAGAAGTAGGAACATTATTTTTCCCAATTAAATTTTGCCCATTTATATTTCGAAGTGGCTATCGTTACGGCACTCGTTGTTTAGCGCCCTCTACGATATTTTTTTGATACGCACGCGGGTATATAATTATTTGTTTCTCCACGTTTTATCGAGCAGTGCGCCAGCTCAGCCGATAGAGGGTAGGATTTTGCACCGCGAGGTTGCGGGTTCGAAACTCAGTTTTGCACTCGAATTTTTTTCCTTTTCTAACCTGAGGCTTTGGAGGATTTTTTTTAAAAGGGAAATAAAGTCCGAATTTCATAAAGTTCAAATTCACTTTTTTCCTTCTAATTTTATATTTTCTTGTCATGTTTTTTTATAAAAGTTGCCAGGTTGCAGTCTACCGTAACGATAGAAAATGGGAAATGCGTTACGGCTGCCGTAACAATAGCCACTGCGTTTATATTTTGTAGTGGGAAGATACAAAACTCTTGAAATATCGTCAGACCCCCTAAAGCTACGAGGTTCTTTTTCTACGCACTCACCTTCAAGTTGTGTGTGACAACGCGCGCGCGCATATGCAAGCGTTACCTGCGTAGATAATGGACGGTCGAGTATATATGAGAGGCACTAAACTGAACGGCTTGCTCTATCTATCACACAAAGCACAGTTACTGAACCAGGGACGTTAAAACAAACAACATGAACAAGGCCCAGCAGATCAGAAGGGCCTGCCCTTGCCTTACTCCTAGAACTATGAGGCTCCACGTAGTGCCGACTGCCGTTGACAAAAAAAAACAACATTGGCCAACAAAAACATCAGATTTACCTCAAAACGGCCTCCAAATTAATAGATACGCCACGTGAGCTCCCCTCGTGATCGATCGTGAACACGTTAAATTTCTGACTCGTGTTTGAACAATGCGATGTGGATGTACGTGCCCAGCGTTCGTCCAATGGTCCCAGCGCGACTCCGTTACCGAGCGCGATGCATCGATTATGATAATGAGTAGACTGGGTCTCGTTTGTACAAGTGCATTTCGAACGATGATACGGAGTCAGGAACTAGCTTGAACTGGTTTCCGCTGATAGCTGCCCTAGTTCCCGACTCAGTATCATAATTCGAAATGCACTTGTGTGTACAAACGAGATCCAGACGCATTTTTGCCAGGATGCAACCTCAATCCTGCAAAAAAATCCTCCAACTGCCTCCATGTAAAAATTTCATACAGCCTCAATCCTGCCAAATCCTTGGTTATTTCTTGAATGTGGTCCTTGAAGGGGCCACCTCTGACTCAATCCTGCAAAATCCTCCAGCAATCACTGTCAATATGTTGAGGCAGAGCCAGTGCCATCCTTGAGCGGTGCGGAGGATTTCAAGTATAATATAGGCCTAAATGTATGCACGGCTGAGCATAAACAACACAAGGTCCAGCCCAAGACCTTGACACAGTGCATTCTCCAGAATCAGTCACACATTTTTGCCATGTACAGCCTCAATCCTGCAAAATCCTCCATTTTGCAAAGATGATTTTGGAGGATTTGGGAAGGTTAGGGTTGAGGTTACATGCTAGTAAAAATGCCTCTTAGAATTAGGGTTAATTTCTCTCCTCTTGGTGACCCAGCCAAAGGTATCCCTTGATCTCCCAAGTTGATCCTTGACTTTTGACCTTGATAAATTAATCATGATGATCTTGTTAATCATGTTTTACAAATACCAGCAGATTTTAATCAGAACGGTGTTTATTACGGGTAGCTTTGATTCATGGTTTCTTCTATTGCTGAAATGGAATCCTCTGGCAATTGGACTTTGGCCTATAGTACATGCTGTCATTTAAAATGTATATTGGTCAGTCTGTAAATTTGGGGTTCACCTTTATAATTTCCTTGTTTCATCTTACATTTTTATGCCCCGCGGCGAAGCCGAAGGGGCATACTGTTTCCGCCTTGTCCTTCCATGGGTGGGTGTGTGGGTGGGTGTGTGGGTGGGTGTGTGGGTGGGTGTGTGGGTGAGTTTGTCTTACATACGCAGTGTGGACTTCCGAACAAAAGACGTCCACATAATGTAGGTAGCACCGACGTTGTGTGGACTTACCCCACGTCCACACAGTGTTTCCCCATTTCTGGAAAACAGGTTTAGAGGGAATTTTTGGGTTAGGTTTATCCGTAGCAGAATGAAGAGAAACACTAAAGGGAATCATAGAAAAAAAATTGGGTTGAAAGAGTTTTCACAGTTTGAGAAAAATGAGTTTTTTCACTGGTTTTTCTTAACTACACGAAAGCAATGGAAAGTCCACACTAGTCATGTGAAACAAGTATGGGTGGGTGGGTGTGTGTGTGTGTCCGGACAAATCTTGTCAGCGCGATAACTTGAGAAATACTTAACATATGAACTTCAAATTTGGTTTGTGGATTGTTCTTGGTAATCCTAAGAAGCCTTTTGCATTTGGGGCCAAAAGGCCAAAGGTCAAGTTCACAGTGGCTAAAACAATAGAAATCTTGTCAGCGCGATAACTTGAGAAATACTTAACATATGAACTTCAAATTTGGTTTGTGGATTGTTCTTGGTAATCCTAAGAAGCCTTTTGCATTTGGGGCCAAAAGGCCAAAAGTCAAGTTCACAGTGGCTAAAACAATAGAAATCTTGTCAGCGCCATAACTTGAGAAATACTTAACATATGAACTTCAAATTTGGTTTGTGGATTGTTCTTGGCAATCCTAAGAAGCCTATTGCATTTGGGGCCAAAAGGTCAAGGGTCAAGTTCACAGTGGCTAAAACAATAGAAATCTTGTCAGCGCGATAACTTGAGAAATACTTAACATATGAACTTCAAATTTGGTTTGTGGATTGTTCTTGGTAATCCTAAGAAGCCTATTGAATTTGGGGCCAAAAGGTCAAGGGTCAAGTTCACAGTGGCTAAAACAATAGAAATCATGTATTTATTCTGAGATTATAGGGATTAGGGATTAATTCATATAAAACCTACAGAAGACACTAATGCTGTCAATGAATGTTCCATGTGACCAAGGTACATGTAAGTTGATGTTAAAAGAGTGGTGTTATGTCATGGGAACTGTCACCGTTGCGGGGCATTTGTGTTTGTAAACACACCTGACTTGTTTATAATTGTGATACACTCCCTAACCCCTAGGCCCTTTATGCTTGTGTGCATCCTCAATCCTACAAAATCCTCCAGTTGCCACCATGTAAAAATTGGATTGTGCCTCAATCCTCCAAAATCATCCATTATTTCTTGAATTTGTTGAGTGGGTGAGGTGACCATTCCTAAGTCCTTTAAAATCCTCCAACAGTCACTGTTAATTAATGGGTTGAGGCAGTGCAATTACATTCAGAAGCAATGCTGTTGACATGAGCATAATGCAGGGCTCAGTTATGACTGAACATAAACATGCTGGGTACAGCCTGTGAACTCAAGTTACTCAACACATTGCATCCTCCAAAATCAACCCACACTTTTTTTGCCATTCAGCCTCAATCCTCCAAAACCGCCTGGAGGATTTTGGAGCATTAAGAAGGGTTAGGGTTAATGCAGTCATCTTCCACGAATGATTATGAATAGCAAGCTACAAAAGTTCCAAGGTAACAGGGACAGGAAAAAATGTCACACTTTGGCACCCTAAATTTACAGAATGACCCCATTTATACATGTATGTGTACATTTGAGTTGGCTTAACCCTAACCCACCTCACTCCTCCAAAATCCTCCTGGCGGTTTTGGAGGATTCTAGAGGATTGAGGATGAATGGTGATTGAATCAAATGAGGATTCTGGAGGATTGAGGATGAATGGTGATTGAAGCACATGAGGATTTTGGAGGATTGAGGATGAATGGTGATTGAAGCACAAATCTTGAGGATTTTGGAGGATTGAGGATGAATGCATTTTGAGGCAGGACTGTCTGATGATTTTGAAAGATTTGGCGTTGGTTATCCTTCATTTAAACACGAGTGCAAAATTTTGGGATGAGGAGGATTTTGGAGGATTGAGGATGAATGCATTTTGAGGCAGGACTGTCTGACAATTTTGAAAAATTTAGGCGGAGTTGCAAAATTTTGGAGGATTTTGGAGGATTGAGGATGGTTGTAAGCAACAAGGGCCTAGGGGGTTAGGGTTAAGATCTTTTGACCGAGAGTTAGATGTGCATGAATCATGTTGCTTATTTACTTGCTTATTTAGTTTCCAAATTGTTTATTGTCAGTCAGCCGTTGTGAAATTTGTCTGTTGAGGACAGTGCTGCCATTTTGGGGCAATAGCAGGTTACCAATTCTGCCGTCACATGTATGTACAGTACAGATACATGTACCTCTGGGTGGAGAAAAAGCATTTGGGATGAAACCCACAATAGATTCATTTTTAATCAACCAAATGGATATCTGGAAAATTGATGTAACAAGAACGTACAATATATGGTAACCTGGTATGTATACGTGTGTGTACATTTATGTATCTTCCAGTATTTATAACAGTTTGTGAATAAGGATTTGTGAACAGTTTCACTTGAATAATGCAAATTTGTTTTCGTTGCCTTCACAGGAAGCGGCGAGGTGCAATGGTGCTTCTCACAAGTTAAAGGGACAGTAGAAGATGATGTTACCGATGGTAAGTGCAAACTCACTTTGCAGAATCATGTACATGTACATATATGCAGATACATGTACATGTGCAGATACATGTACATGTATATTATACGCTTGTTGCCTGCTGTGGCAGGGTCCGTGGCGTTCTGTACACCCGAGGGGGCAAATGGTAACCAGCGCAAAGCCCGTCACAGCAGGCAACAGTTGTTTTGTTATACCACGGTAATAGACTACTAACATCTGAAACTGTGGGTCTAGGCTGTTGCGATACAGAATTGGCAAACTTTTTGCACAGAACTTTGTGTATTTTTCTTCGTGCTGATGCTGACCTGTTAAAAAATCAAATTTTTGATCTCGTCTTTGGAGGAAGAGAGAAAGCTCTTCTTTGGAGGCCACCTGTTGTCATCTGCCAACATTTTATGGTGAATTTACGGCAAAATTTGCACAGTTAAAAAGAGCAGATGAACAGTGACGAACGATGTAAACAAAAATGGCGGTCATAGCAAAAACATTGCTTCACTGTCCCCTGTGGTACATCTCTTAAAAACATATATATTGATTTACGTAGTACCAGCATAGCTACAACCTCGCACCCGAGGTCACACAAATATAATACAACGCGATGGAAACGATCAAATTTTCAACAGCGGGAAAGAAAAAGGTAATGCACCCGTGGGGAACATCACTCATGTACCACACGCGTGCAGCGTACATCGCACATCGCTGTACATGCGTGTTTGTCGCATGACACATGATCGATGATGGACCAATAAAAATTCACAATCTATTACCTGTGGTATTACAAGTGCGCATGTTCAACTTTGGATGTAGTCTGAACTTTTCATGAGTTTACTTCAAATATATTGGTTCAGCGCGAATCTGGAATGCCAGTCTCAAACAAGTGTTACTGATCTCTAATATTCTCATTTCCTGCCGAATCCTATCAAAGAAATTCAGAATGTTTACCTTAACTTTCCTAACTTCATAAAAAATAGATTTTGGCAGATGAGCCATGTGTACCAAGTCCCATCGAAATCCGCCTAGTATAGCAGTGGTGGATTCGTGGTGGATTTCAATGGATTTGGTCCTGAGGCATTATGTGAAGCAGAGTCAGTGATGGATTTTGACGGACTTTGTACTCTATTTTTAAAACGCAGTAGGGAGTTAGGGGTATTAAAAAGTCATCAAGCAACACATACAATTACATGTACATGTAGTTTGAACGCCCCACTGCTCGTTCATAAAACAAGACCAGGATGTGCAGGAAGCCGTGTCGACCTTCAAACACACTGACTGGATTTAGATGTAACATGTATGGTTATGCTTTGCACAATTTCATACCTGTCATGTTGCGGAAATTTTCATTGAATCTGTCAAATACAAATTGTGTCATGTACATGTACTGTGGGGAATGGAATAAGGAAGTAAATGTACCTTACCCCCCTTTTATTTACAACACTGCAGTTGAATCTGTTGAGGTACATGTATTACAACAGGTACATACACAAACTTAGCAGTGCCCATGTCAACTGCTCTTTTAACCCTAACCGCCCTGAATCCTCCGAAATCCTTTTTGCAAATTGGAGGAATTTGCAAGATTGAGGGTACATGGCCAAAGTGCGTTGCTGATTTTTCGGAGTACGCACTGTGTCAAGGTCTTGGGCCGGACCTTGTGTTGTTTATGCTCAGCCGTGCATAAATTTAGTCACACTTGACATCCTCCGCACTGCTCCAGGATGTCACTGCGTCTGCCTCAGCCTATTGACAGACATAGCCGGAGGATTTTGCAGGATTCAGGCAGTGGTCATCCCGCCATGGACCATATTCAAGAAATAACGGAGGAATTTGCAGGATTGAGGCTATATGCTATTTTTCCATGAGGCCAATTGGAGGATTTTGCAGGATTGAGGCTACATCCTAGCAAAAAGGCCTAGGGAGTTAGGGTTAATAAGCTCCTGCATAGTAATGTCGTTCCTGCAATCAACAAAACTGTGGGTCTTTTTGCAAATGGTTTCCATTCCCTTTAATTTAAAACTCGGTGTACATGTATAACTCATTGATAACTTCCTACAGTGGCACAGGCATGACAGGTTGAACAATGAAGAGGAAGTGTTTACTACATGTACATGTATAAAATAGCATTTCTATCCCCTAAAAAATATTTAAGCTTTTTTAAGCATGTGTCCTTGAATTTTTGGGGGTACTACTTTGTGACTCTTTTTTTTTTTCAAGTATACATTAGTTAACTTTATGTATTTCACAGCATGTGATGACATTTATTTAATTACTAGACAGGCATGCAACTTTTCCTCGGATCTGCTGATTTCCTCGTTTTCTCATGAATGCTAAATTGAAAAACACTAGGGGCCTAAACAAAGTCTTGTGTGGTTTGGATTGGAATGCCCTCGTTGGTTTTTTTTCCCCTTAATTCCCAGTTGCGTTGCGTATGGCAATGAAGTGTTGAACAAGGATGAATTTTCAGCAAGGTTGTTGCGCTTAGTTCATAATTTCATTATTTCTTGCTATTTTTATGTTAAATTCTGTGGTACATTATTTAATGCGTACATGTACATGTAATTGATCAACGTTATAAAGGCCGCGCAATACAAATTTAACATATTATTATAAGAATATTGTGATTATTACAATCACATGTACATTTGTGTACATGTATTTAGCGAAAACATTTGCAGAGAAACGATTGTATGAACTTCACCTGTGTCAAATGAAAATCGTTTCAGGTTCGCTTTGTGTAATCCATTATCCAAGCCAATTCATTACATGTACATTGTACGTACAGGTACATATACCGGTATGCACAAGTACATGTATGAATGATCAGGTAGACCTTCTGTTTGCCGATTTTTTGCCAAGAATATTTTATTTATTTTTTTATCATTTTCTGAGGATAGCATTCTGTGTACCAGCCATTCAAAGCTAATCAAACAATTGGGCTGAGTGGTGCAGGCTCGAAAACTTCAAAATTTATTACATTTACATGGACGTGTACCCTCTTAACAATGCTTAAGAATTAACATCAAAGGAAATCAGGTAAACCAAGCAGTGATTGTGTTTTTGTAATCTCAGTATTGACAGAGCAGTTGGCATTCAGTTTGCAATGTAGTACTGATAAATATATGTGCGGTTCCTACAAATGTACTTGCAATTCTACAGCTGAGCTCTCAGCTGCAGCATTCCCAAAGCTTTCGAAATGAATTACCGTCTCACATATCTCACAATTTCTTAATTCTATCCCTCTCTCTCTCTCTTTCTGTGCTCTTTTTCCCTGTGTTCTCCTCTAGCCGATATCATTTCCACAGTAGAGTTCAACCACGACGGAGAGCTGCTAGCCACCGGCGACAAAGGCGGTCGCGTTGTCATATTCCAAAGGGAAGAACAGGTATGCTGAGATAGGGTTACCTAAGGGGGATGTGAAGGGACACAAAGACTGACAATCCCCCCCCCCCACCCAACCAGTACACATGCCATGGCATGTGTTTCTGTTATTAGTGAGTAGTACATACACGTACATATTTATGTGCATGTGTGTAGGCCTACACGTACAAGGTAAATGTACAGTATTTGCTGTACATGTAGTACCAGTCATGCAAATAGTACAAGGTGGATGTATCCCATGAGGTCCTTTCATGTGCATTTTGTTTGAAATCAAGTTTGCTTAAGATACTAATATGTAAGCCCAAGTGCATTTCTGGAAACAAGGATATGAATGGCACGGAACTAGTGGTGGGATTTAAATCCGGATTTGTTGAAATTCGGTTTGAATTTCACTATTTGGTTTAGATTTGGGAAACCGGATCTTCAAATCAATCTTTACAAATTAAGTCTTCAATTGTTTGTGATACAGACTTAAGAAAACAACTGGAACATCTCCTAATTTGCTCCGTGGTCTCTGATTGTAACTGCATTCACTTGCTAGTGGTCTTCTTGGGATATGAATAGCCTACCCATTTGACTTACCAGAGATTTCTCTTTTTGTCAAAATTACTGCTTTGAAGTGTTTTGTAAAGGCCAAATGGTCATTTGAATCCTTCAAACTATACCCAACGATTGGGAGGGCATTGCATGTGGCACCTCACTCCTAGCTTTTTGTTGGCATGGCTGTGAGCTGAATAGGAAGTTTAGATGAAATCAGATAACCGTTAGTCGGTTTGAAAAAAAATTAGGATAATCGGATTTGATTTCTCCCAACACTACACGGAACACACTACGCATACCTTTTTGCCATGTTCCATTTGTGTTCGTTGGATAGCTGATAATAGTACAGTGTTTGTAAGTACAATACATGTAACTAGAGTATTCAGGAAAAAAGGTACATGTTGGTAACATCTACGCAAAAAAAAAAATAATAATAATAATAATAATATAATAAAAGGGCAGACGGAATTTATTCAGTTCAATTGTACGTACACATTTGTGCAGGATTGGTTTTAGTTTGGGTAGTTGCCTCTCAATGGAATAGCATGCACATTTGTACTTGAAAAAAATTGTAATGGCGTACCAATGACACTTAACTTCAGTTGTGGACATCACAAAGTGTCCTTCAGTTTCGCTTCCATATGAAGATTGATCCCATGATGGATCATTCAGGCTCTGCTTTGATGGAATATGTTGCACAAGGCTGCATCTTTACATGGCAACTGCCTCAGTGGAATGTTCAGGGGGGCGGGAGAGGGAGAGATCACTCATGCATACAAACTGCATATTGAAATCCACACGTAGCCGCAGCAAGTCAATCACAGACTTAATTTAACCAGACGTTCGCGTGTGTATTCATTTCTGGTGTGCAGTAATACATGTTGTGTTCCTGATATACTGACAGATGAGACTGTGTAACATTATGGACTAAAGACGTGTCATTTTTTTTTGCATGGGTTTCCAAATCTGCAGAGTAAAAACTGCACGCCACCGAGAGGAGAGTACAACGTATACAGCACGTTCCAAAGCCACGAGCCTGAGTTTGACTATTTGAAAAGCTTAGAAATTGAAGAGAAGATCAACAAAATCAAATGGCTCAACCGCCAAAACTACGCCCATTTTCTGCTTTCAACAAACGGTGAGTCTCGTACTCTTCTTTTGATATTTTATTTGGTCTGTGTTTATTAAAACAACTCTTGTTTCAGCGGACCATGTTAACAGGAAAAGGCTGATGTTCCTCAAATGTTCCTAAGATTTTAACCTCTCAAAGCCCGTTTTTTTTAACCCTTGTTTAACATCTCTGGCTGGCAAACTCAGCTACGCCATTACAGCATTTACAATCAACGATGTGACTGTTTTTAACAGTTAAGAACTCCCTTCTTAATTTGATATAGCCATGCTTTGACTGGAGGTGATTGATATACCAGCTGTACCTACCAGTTACCTCTTTTGTCTTTTGATGGAATTTGACTCGTAAAAGCGTTAACACAAATGTGATCTGACTATTTTTTTTTACTAGTCTATATACAAATGCATGGCAAAGGAAGTGGAAGAAACGTTTGACTGCCTGTGACTGATCAAACACTAGGAAGATTAACCCTCCTATGCAAACATACATTCTGTGCAAGTTGTCCTTGCAGTCAAAAATCGAGCCTTGCGAGCCTGATCCCACCTCAGAAAATTGGCTGTCTCCGAAGTAGTCTTTATTATTGTCATACACATGTTGTTCAATTTAACATCCACCCTACATGTGTACCATCCATCTATCCGTGGTTTTGGATCTTCTTTTTAATTACACATATGGGCAATTGCAGGGTTACTCACGTTACATTTTTGATGTACTTCTGAGTTTCCTTGGGCTGTAATTACCTTACTGAAAAGGTTTATTAACTGTTATCCCCATTGTAGATAGAGTAGACCTAGACCTACCTAAGCACCAATGACAACATCCAGAAAAATGTGTTATGTATGATAAACAAGACGCACAAAATCGGTTACTCAGGTTACATTTTCGTAACGTGAGCAACCATGGGGATAACGGTTATTAAACCTTTTCAGTAAGGTAATTACAGCCCAAGGAAACTCAAAAGTACATCAAAAATGTAACGAGAGTAACCGTGGAATTGCCCATATGCAAAAATCTGAACAATCCTATTGATCCAAACTTCCTCTATTCCCCTCTGCTCTTTCAGATAAAACAATAAAACTTTGGAAAGTCTCGGAGCGGGACAAGAAATGGGTAGGTTCCAACTTGACTGAGGAGGACGGCGCATTACGGGACCCCTGCCAAATCACGTCAGTGCGCCTACCCGCAGTACAACCCATCGAATTAATGGTAGAAGCAAGCCCTAGGTAAGCCCCTGTCACGGTCAAATCAACTAATCCGTTAGTAATTCCAGCGGTTGGTAAAGGATTCTGCGAAAAAAGAAGGAAACTTTATCACTGAACCCATGGAGATCAAGAAAGTGAGTGTGACGAATGCCAAGATTCAATCTGGCAAAAGCCGTCAAGGCAAAAATCTAAATGTCACCTTTGCCAACCAGATCCCCTGACCTTTTGTTTTGGCCGTGTAGCTTCGGGAACCCTTCCAACTTCCAAATCGAAGGGCATTCTTTATACTTCACTAAAAGCCCAGTGTGAAGTAAGAGTAGCTGGACTGAACAGTAATGAATCCATCGCAATCCGGTTCGTAAGTGTGACGTCGTTTCAACTTAAACCACGCCCCAATGCACACACTGTAGCATTGGAACCGGAAGAAGTGCAAATGGCTTGTTTAGCCAATGGGCTCTTGTAATCCGTGGTGCGTGCGTGTGTGTTACGCAGTCACTTACGAACTGGCAACTGCCCAACCTGGCTTAGAATTTTGGCAAGTACGGGACGGCTCTGTTAAAGAGGTTTCGCAAGTGATTGGATACGGTTAAACATGACATATAGGTCATCAGTTTGTGCAGTCTTATGACGCCATACGCAAATTGCTATCTGCACTTTTGTTGCTTCAAACGAAATGCACAAAAGGTAAATGGTCCTATGTATGGCCTTTAACCCTAACCACCCCAACTCCATCAAAATCCATCCCCCCCCCCCCCCCCCATTTTGATGGATTTTGGGGGACTTGGTCCAGAAGGCCTGGCGTGACTAAATATTGATGGAGTATGATGGACTTGGGCCTAATGGCCTGTAGCAGTGCTAGGGGTATCCGATTGATTTTGCCTAGCTTCCTGTAACTGCTATTGTGATAAAAGCCATGTGTAGCAAGTCCATGAACGTCAACCAGTGCGTCAGTGGCGGATTCCATCATGTCATGTTATAGTATTGTATTGGACTCACAGTGATTGATGGATTTTGATGGACTTGGTCCAGTTCCTGGGGAGTTGGGGTTAAATCGGTAGGTGTGTTTCAGGAAAGTTACCACTGTTCCTACATGCCTTTTACCTTGCAAAAAAATCCAGATTTTTATGAATTTGTGGCAATTTTGCGAACAACTTGTGTTTTTGAAAACCCACTCCTGACATGGTTTGCCCTGCATGTTTTTTCCTTTTGTTCGTATATCCACTTCAGGAGAGTATTTTCTAATGCCCACACGTACCACATCAACTCGATATCAGTCAACAGTGATGGGGAGACGTATATATCAGCCGATGACCTTAGAATCAACCTATGGCATCTAGGAATCACAGACCAGAGTTTTAGTATCCTTTTGAATTTGACATTATTTTTTTCATTCTTTTGACATATATTGCTATGTATTTATTTTTTATTTTTTGGGGGGGCATAATTTTTTGCTGCTGAAACCTTTTGTCTTCCCCATTAAAATTGCCAATGCTGCTAATGCCATTCTCTTAGACGAAATAGAATGTGTATTTGTAACATCTGCCTTTATTTCCCTCTTAACCCTTAGGCCCTTTTTCCTAGGAACTCTCATCAATCCTACCAAATCCGTCACTTATGTTCAAATGAAGGATACCCACTGCCTCAATCCTTCAAAATTCTCCAAAAGTTCTGCCTCTCAAAATGCAATCAGCCTAAACCCTCCTGTGCAAACATACAATTCTGTGCCAAGTAGTCCTTTCAGTCAAAATCAAACAAGTGACTGTTTTCAACTGTTAAGAATACCCAGCCTACATCAAGCAGAATTGACTGGCTGGGACTGTTTAAGTAACTTGATACAGCTATGCTTTGACTCCGGCTGAGTGATAAAACAGCTGTGACCACAACTTGCCTGCTTTGTCTGTTGACCCCGTTTGACTAGTCACTGTGCTTACTAGCCATATTATCTGACTGCTGGTGACTAGCTTTGTTAAAAGTATAGCAAGTATATGACAGTCTGTGACTGTTTAAATAGCAGGAGGGTTGATCCTCGAAAATCCTCCTCTTTTTCAAACATCATTCAGCTTCAATCCTCCAAACTCAACCGATACTGACTGTCCATGTGCCCTCAATCCTCCACAGTCCTCCAAAATTGTATGTTGCAATCAGCCTCAGTACTCCAAAATCCTCCAAAACCGCCCGGAGGACTTTGGAGGATTGAGAAAGGTTAGGGTTAATAGAGACGAATACTATCAAATTGTCGTTTATTACCCCAAGGTCAACCAAATGTTAACATGTCTCAGTCAAATTAATTTCTGTGGGAAAAAAAATCATAAATAAGCAGTTATTTTATTTCGTCTGCTTTTCTTACTCAAAATGTTACTTAAAATGTCTTTTAAGTAATATTGTATGAAATTTCATTCTGAAGACAATATCTTTTTATGTAATGAAAATATTGTGTTTTTACGGCCTACATTGTACCTGGTTGTTTTGCATGCCAAATCGCCGACCTCAAACGTTATATTGCCACATTTGGCCAAAAATTGAAAATGACGTATATTTTGAAAAATGAAAAAGTCTTCCCTATGCATGGTGTTTTGTGCCTTTTTATTGGTCAATTAAACAGGTTAATTAAACAGGTTAATTAAACACAAGATTGTCAAAGGTACATGTACATGTAGCCCAAAGTAAAAAAAAAAGGAAAATATAAAAGACGAACAAACAAAAAAATTCACAAAATAAACTTATTTTCCTATCTACCTAGGCCTACCTGGATAAATTTTTAGGGCGTTACCGTAATCGCACAAGTTTTATCTCCGCCTTAACATTTTCATTTCAATTTTTTTTGTGATGGGAAAGGGGGGGGGGGAGAGGGGGAAAGGAAGGATTTCTGTTACACTGTTCAATCATATACAAGCAGTTAGCCCATTTAAATCAAGTCAGTTTTTCTTTTCTAAAAGCATCAACTAACCGCAGGGATTCAGATGTATGTTCACTTCACTACGTCTAACACTGCATTCTGTAACAGCTTCAAGGCTTAAAAAAAGAAAAGGGAAACACATAAAATCCCTCCGTCCGTGTCTCTTCCCCCTGAGAATTCCCCCATTGAAATGCCACACAAAGCCATCAGGGGGAGACATACAGAGTCAAATTTCCTGCTGCTTAATCCAGCCTCACTGTGCCTGTTTTGTTGCGCTGTTTTTTTTCGAAATCTGAAATTGTAGACGCACAAGTTTGCTAATAGGTGGGGGATTTCTCGGGCATAATGCAAGTCGGTGTTGACAATATTTTTAAGTCTAAGCAATTATTTATTTTTGTATCGCCTTTGATTGTCCTGCTAAGATCCAATGTTTGCCTCATTTATTTTTTGATTTATTGTTCAGGTCAATGCATTCAGTAAGCAGTTTGCAGCAGTTGTTACATTTTCCAAAAAAAAATTGTTTAATTTAATTATCATGTTATTTTGGAGACTTTTTGTAAAAATGGGGACTGCCACCCCCCCCCCCCCCCCCCGAAAAAAAATACAAAGTTGCCTTTCTTTAAACCATTAGGAGTTTACTAAAACAAAAACCGGAAACTGTTATTGAAGAAAAGAAAAGGAATAGATAAATTTTGGCTTGATTATTAAATTGGCTTACTTTCCATCTCATATTTTTAGCCCGCAGGCTAAATTGCGCACTGGAATACAATTATACAATAAAAGGACTGAAAATTAAAAGTAATTTGCTTGCTGTGATTAAAAAATAATTAGGTTTTAAAAGTGTTTATTGGGAAAACCCACATTAAAACAACATTCAGGCACACAACACACAGGCACACAACCACTGACACCCACAACAGAAAACACATTGGAAGCAAAATGGCAGAAAAAAAAAAAAAAAACCGAAAGTAAAAATCCCACTCATTTTTGGATGCCGTTTGTCAACAGCGTCCTTCCCATCCCTGATTCAGCAGTTCCTTTAAAGATCAAGCGAGGCCGCAGTGCCACTGTCATGTGCCTGTGATCTTCATTTCCTGGCTGTCTGACATTTAGGACTAGAGAGCGTAGGATGTCTTGGATTATCACCCGTGTCGGGCCCATTGCCTTGTCTCCCAGACCTCATCTTTATTCAGATTTTTTTCATTATTGTGTGGGCGCATAAGCTTACCCAGCACAGTCAAATTGAAGTGACATTGACCATTGATTTCCCTACAAAAGTTACAAATCATGATGTTAAAAATAGAGAAAACCTTGGAAATAAGTGACACATATTGTGTTAAGGTATTTTTAATATACATGTACATGTATACATACACAGACTAGGAATTTCTCATTGTATAGTGACTATGGACACTGTGTATTTAATTCTTTGCACTCATTCCTTCTTCAGTTAAAAAGAAGTACAGGGTGAGTAAAAAAAAAAAAAAAAAAAATGTCGGGACCATTGTTTTATTGAAGTTCTGCATGTAGCACTTTCAAAATCTAGGATATGAAAGCCCAATTCATACACTTTCTTTTAGTACAAGAATCATTCAAATCACTCATGTACTTTTCAAGTTACAGAATTTTTAACACAACCGCCGTTTTAAGGTTATGTCCACGGATCACAACAAATCTCAGTGTTCTTTCAGCAAAACGAAAAATCACATATGGATGTGTGTGAATTGTTTTTCGTTTTGGTGAAAGAACACGCACCTTTTGTGTGATCCGTGGACAGATCCTCAAAACGGTGGTTATGTTTAAAATTCTGTAACTTGAAGGTACATGAGTGATTTTAATGATTCTTTTGCTAAAAAAAAAGCTTATGAATGAGGCATTCATATCCTAGATTTTGAAAGTGCTACATGCAGAACTTCCTTAAAACAATGGTCCATACATTTGGGTCTCGGGTTTTTTTTTACTCACCGTGTATGTACGACTCATTTTAATTTTACTTCAGGTAGTTGCACCCTGTTTATTTTCATTGCATCAGTTTATGCTGTTAACTCTCCTGCTATCTGAACAGTCACAAAGAGTTTTTAAAAAATCAATCCGCTTCCCCTACCATGCCTATTACACAGGCTAGTTACCAACAGTCGGATCGTATTTCAAGCAAGCACTGTGCTAGTCAAATTCAGTCAACAGACAAAAACAGGCTAGTGGTAGGCACAGCTGGTTTATCAATCACCTGCATATGTACAGTCCAAGCATAGCTGTATCAAGTTGCATAGCATTTAACACTATTTCAGGTCAACCCAGTCAGTGAGCAATTTGCAATAGTTTTTACATTTTCAAAAAATTAGTGTAATTAATTTATTATGTTATTTTGCCTGTCAGTAAGACTTTTGTAAAATAGAGATTTCCAAGAAATATTGTTGGCTATCTTTAAAAATTTAGGACGCAACCACTAAAGTTACCGGTAATTAGGTTATTTTCAAAGTGTTCATTTGGAAAATCAACATTAACCCAAACTTTATAGGTATTTTTGCTAGGATGTAGCCTCAATCCTGCAAAATCCTCCCATTGGCCTCATGGAAAAATAGCATATAGCCTCAAATCGCGCAAATTCCTCCATTATTTCTTGAATATGGTCTGTGGAGGGGTGACCACTGCCAAATCCTGCAAAATCATGCAGCAGTGACTCAGTATGTTGAGGCTTGGCCAGTGACGTCCTGGAGCAAATGGATTTCAAGCATAATCATATTTATGCATGGCTGAGCAAAAACAACACAAGGTTCGGCCCAAGACCTTGACAAAGTGCATCCTATGAAATCAGTAACGCACGTTTGCCATGTAACCTCAATCCTCCAAATTCCTCCACTTTGGCAAAGAGGATTTTGAAGGATTCAGGGTGGTTAGGGTTAAAAAAAAAAATGCAGACACACAGCACACAGGCACGCTGCTGCCACTGCACAAAAAGCACAATTGAAGCAATGTGGTTGTTTAAAAAAAAAAAATTACCAAAACGTTTTCCTCATGCCATGCACATGTACGACCCCTCCTGTCGTGTGACCAAGCTTGGTCACGTGGTGGGTCACGTGAGGGCCTCAACAACCCCAGTCGATAAAGACACCATAATGGTGTCGCAAGCTCCTGATACGAGCTCTGTAACTTAAGTCTCAAAAAGGTATCTGTTATTTAATTGATATAATGATGGGACAGGAAACGAACTTTCATGCTCGATTTTTCTCTCATGTTTGGATGACAAGAATCCTTAACCCTGCACCTCAGATATTGTTGATATTAAGCCAGCCAATATGGAGGAGCTAACGGAGGTCATCACGGCGGCCGAGTTCCACCCTAGGGAGTGTAATGTATTTGTTTATAGCAGTAGTAAAGGCAGCATCAGGTTATGCGACATGAGGCAGGCGGCGTTATGCGACCAAAGTGCAAAAAGTGAGTAGATTGGTCCTCGCGTTTTAGTCAGGGAGTTTAGATTAGTATTTGAAAATTCGCAAACATGGGGGAATTCCAGAGCATAGAGGTTTTGAGCTCTGTTCTTGGAACAAATAGAATATCTTTATTTGTTTTTGTTTTTTTAAACGTTTGCTATATCACAACAATCAATTCACTTTAAAGGCATGTACGATCATTTGCATTTTGCCCAAAGTATTAACCTAGTAAATATCAAAAAGCTTCTTTGGATTAAAGATCATACTGGTACTAATACAAAACACCCCGTTAACATGGTTAAAGTATAGACCATTATCATGTTGCAGCCATTTGATTTTTTCCCATTCAAATCAATGTAACCAAAGCGAGGCTGGAAGGAAAAATAGTCTGGTTCCTTTTTGCACAAAAATATTATTCAGTACTGTTATTGGATACAGGGAACATGACTAAAATGGTGGAAGCATGATATAGGTTTGTATAACCGACATACAGATCCTTGTCATTTGATTGGTGGACCTCACATCACGTGACATTCGTTATTGCTCCCATTCACGCTGCGACTCAAAAAGTACTATCCGCCCATGGGGAATGGGAAATACTATTCAAACAGTTAGGATCATGACACGGTATTTGTGTGCAAATGCATGCTGGTGTGCGCGTTCAGCGTTGCGCGTATTGTTCCAAAGAGCTAGCGCTACAGCGTTGGGTTCAAACATTTTCGTGAAGGGGTGGTTTGGAAGAGAGAAATACATTTTCCTCCAGTTTTGTATTGAAATAAAAGTTCAAATATGTCAAATGACAAGGATCTATATGTCAGTTATATAAAACAAATATTGGGTGGCTTTAAATTGTGAAATGGGAGGAATATTATCGCTCGGTAAAATCTGGACTTTTCCAGTTCACTCGGCTCCTCGTGAAATGGAAAAGTCCAGATTTTACCTTGCGATAATATTCCTCCCGTTCCACGCTGAGCCACTCAATATTTGTATACTATTCCGTCTGTCTTTTGGAAGAAGGTGAGTTCCAACAATCAGTCAATTGACTGATCATTGGGAATAAACAGTTCTCTTGACGAAATTGTGTTTCGTGATCAAAAGATTGTGCATGGTTTCTCATTGTTTTCATTGTAAAGTGTAATATCCACTGAGCTGAAACTTCAACAGGTTAGGTTTTGAAGATGTCTTTGGATATTGAGTTGTGATATTATTGGAAATGAACAAAATGCATGAAATGCATACGATCCTGGGCTATATGCCTTTCATATTTGTCAAAAGTGACTTTATTTTTTTAATTTTTTTATTTATATTGGCTGCACTGCGCTGCAATATCTGCCCTTGAACCAAGTCTTGTGTTCAGAACTCAAAGACAGTAAACGGACCGAATTAAGCAGCTTTGTCGTGAGCTCCCTGGGCCCACATAATCCATCCAAATCGGTATCATTGCTGACTAGCTCATCAGCTGTCTAATGACATTTTTATGCACCCCGAAACTCCCTTAGCGGGTAAGCCAAAGCATCCTCCAATACGTTTCGGCTAGAGTTCATTGGTACATCCAATCGACCTTCTTGAAATTGCATCAAAAGAGAGGATGTCAATTCTGAATAAAACAGATTTATTTTTTACCTTATGAAAGGGAAGTAGCATCTTAACATGTGACGTGATACTTAAAAGTTATCTTATTCCATGAGAATATGTTTTATTATGTAAAAGGCTCTAATCATTTCTAAAAGGCTAGAGTTAGTATTAACTCCGTGCAAGAATAGTATATGGGCAATGCCAGTGCTATGTAATGTCCGGGACAGAGCTTGGTGAATAAACCTGAAAAAGTATTTGTTCAAATCCATTCTCTTGTAATGGTCGAGGAGATTACATACTAGGAGTTTTGGATCATTTCTCTGAATCATTAATTAGATGCCATGGTTAATTGGCCGACCAGCGTTGGAGAACACTGACTTTTTTCAGAAAGTGCTCCTAAATTGTCATATTTAGTTCCTCTGCTTTTTCTTTGCAATTGATTACACACCTGTGAAGAGGTACAAGCCTGCTAGACTGATTCTCTGATCTTACAATTCCCCAAAGTCTGTAAATTGCTCTGTTTCATCTTAAGTGGGTCAGGGAACCAGACTAAAATAACATGATTCATTTTCTTGGTTTTTCCAGCATCTACAAGCCCAAAACATGAAACAAGTCAGTGTTACAATATTTGCTTTGACATACTAATTCTCCAAATCCATTTATTTTTGAAAATTGCAGCAAAAGCAAATGTTGTACATTCCCTTTAAAGTGGCACATGTTATTTTCTTTGACCAAATCAAATATGGATTCCTATTTTTACAAAGCATCTATCTTCAAACGACTTACCATCCATCCTCTCTCTATCCCCCATTCCCTCCCCCCTCCTCATTCCTCCAGTGTTTGAAGAGCCCGAGGACCCCAGCAATCGTTCCTTCTTCTCCGAGATCATCTCCTCCATCTCAGACGTGCGGTTCAGCCGCAGCGGCCGCTACCTGATCTCCCGGGACTACCTGTCGGTCAAGGTCTGGGACGTCCTGATGGACACCAAGCCCGTGGAGACCTTCCCCGTCCACGAGTACCTGCGCAGCAAGCTCTGCTCGCTCTACGAGAACGACTGCATCTTTGACAAGTTTGAGTGCGTCTGGAACGGCAACGACACGTGAGTGTTTTCTGTCTGGTATCAGTTGTTATGGGCTCCGTGCACAAGTACTCCTTCAACGGCCAGAAAAGGAGAGTTGGTGGAGACCTAGACTGGTTCCCGGTTCATCAACTGCGTATTTCGAATGATTCAAACTTGTTGGGGGCGGGGATTAGCCTGGGAGACCATCGCAAGTTAAATTTGAACATATTTGTGCCAACAACACCTGATGCTCATGCGAAGATGCTGTGGCTATAGCTTTGGCACATTCAGGAAGTTGTGCGTACTTCGCGCGCGAACCAGTACAGTACAGTATGCACATGCTGTGTGGTCCTACCCCCCCCCCCCCCACAGGCTCTCAAAACTGGTAAAAAATCGCCCTCTATTGTTGGCGCACGGAGCCCATAGGTTCAATCGTCTGCACTAGACTACATTGTATAGACCATATGTGACGTTTGTTAACAGAATTAGATGTTGTGGACACATGATGCCAACTTTCAGCTAACGGGGGCCAATTTCGTGGAGCTGCTAAGCACAAAAATTTGCTTAGCACAAAAAAGTCTGGCTTAGTAAAAAGCAGGTTACTAGCCAAAACTCCATGTGATTTCCATGCTAAGCAAACAACAGCTGAATACCAATCACAAGCAATATACATCACATGGACAGTTGGTTGGTAATCCTGTTTTTGCCAAAGCAGACTTTTCATGCTAAGCAAATGTTTGTGCTTAGCAGCCCCATGAAATTGGCCCCAGTTCTCTTCCGCACTGCATGTATATCTCTTGAAATATGAATGGTTTAAAAGTTTTCACTTGAATACAATGTTGGCCAATCAACATGGAAAAGATGCTCAAAAGTTTGGCTTGCCCGGCGGTCACTTGTCGGCATGACGTCACAGGGCACATGGTCTATATTTCACTGTATTCAATTCCTGATGAAACCACACAATGCTTGGGCGGTTTGATATTTGTCATTGATATTTGTCAGCATTAATGTAAAATGTTGGGTTGGTAATTTTGGCTCATGTTAGACTTTTGGGTTAAGCTACTTGAAAATGAGGATCAAACATGTTGCAACCTGACGCCACTTCAGCGGCTGTGTACAAAGTCTATGGAGAGTCGAGACAAGTTTTAAAGTATTTCCTAACAAAATTACAAATGTTTCTCAGTCCCAGATTCATGTCTTATCATCATTTTTTGCAATGACTGACCTTCATTGAGGTGATATATGAAGAAAAAAAGTGCGTCAGGTTGCAACGTTTTTTCCGAAAAAAAATTTGTACACAATTTCAGTTTTCTTTGTTCTTGATCCAATTGCTTGCATTAAATCACAAACTTTGCGCATTGTGGCAACTCTTTATAAAATTTGAGTTTGAATGAATTGATTGGATATGTGTTTAACCGAAAATGTGATTTCCGTCTGTCATTGTCACAGGGCCATCATGACCGGCTCGTACAACAACTTCTTCCGGATATTCGACCGGAACACGAAGCGGGACTCCACGCTGGAGGCGTCGCGGGACAGCACCAAGCCCATGCAGGTGCTGAAGCCGCGGCGCGTCAACACGGGCGGCAAGCGCAAGAAGGACGAGATCAGCGTGGACAGCTTAGACTTCACCCGCAAGATCCTGCACACGGCCTGGCACCCCAAGGAGAACATCATCGCCGTGGCCGCTACAAATAATTTGTACCTCTTCCAAGAAAAGCCCCCGAGCTAAAACCGGCTTTAGTTTTGTACTCTCATCGTCTCTCTTAATTAAAAAAAAAAAAAAAAAACCAGTGTCCCTCCTCCGTAATGTGTTTGAGAAAGAAAAAAAAAAACCGAGAAAGACAAACAAACCATCCTCATGTCTTCGGTGGATTAATGCTGCCGTTGTCAATGTCGTCATTGTTTTGTTCCATTTTGTGGTTATGCTGGAGGAATGCCAAAAATGTACAGTGGTGTAATTTTTTGTAGCGTTGTACAAGGGAGAAAAAAATGGAATATACTAAAAGAAGGTCCACAAGTGCTTTGGTTGAGAGGGTCGCTTTTGTAGGTCTGTAATGAGGCTGTGCGTCGGTGCCCTCATCTAGATGTCATGCATAGTTGGTGTCTGAGAGGGTGCCCTTTGTTATTTAAATTTAGTAACAATGAATGCATAAAAGGTTTTACTCGCGCCTATCCAAGCGATGCCAAACCGTTGCCCTCTAACTCCGCCTTCACGCATAAGGAGTGCGTTTGATTACTTCACCCAGCTTACTCGCGCCTGGCTCCTCGCGTGATGACAGACATGCGCAGCGGAGCTAAATAAACAAACGGTGTCGGGTAAAGTTTCGTGCAAGAGCTGGAAAGTTGAACTTTGACATGACACTGAGGCTGCATCCGAATCAACTGTTTAGAGCTAGTTCTACTAGGTCAGCGCCCATTGAAAACTACGCGGGGACGCGCTGACAATAGACGAAGCCGTAGCTCTGGAAGCCTGTTTCCCACATAGCCTGAGGCGCCTGCTTGACGTCACGTTGGCAGCCATGTTTATTGCATGGCCTTATGGGATACTTACCCAAGTAACCGGCTCGGCGAGTCGGTGACTTTTGCCAGGCTCGAGCAAGCGCGAGAATTCACGTGAGAGGTAAATCGAATGCTGTCGCGCTTGCACGAGTAAGCGCGGGGAAGAAATCGAACGCACTCAAGGTCTGTTGTGGGCACCAGTGTTCAACTAGTTCGAACAACTTGCCAAAAAAAAAAAAAAAGAGAAGCGAACATGTCATGGTGGCTGCTATGTAGAATTAATAGACAGTACAAATTGCTTCTGCACTGTCTATTCCTGCCAGATGATCACATATATTTCAGAAACTAAATGTCGTGACTTCAACCCAGAGTCAGAATAAGTGAGGATTGAAGAAAGTTTGCCCACTATAAACTCAACGGGTCCAAGACACGGGAACAGTTTTGTGATAATCCTGTGTCGTAAAAAACAGGGTTAAACCTGTTAAAGTTGCTCTATTTTGTTTTGGATATTTTTAATTTCTCATGGGTCTCAAGTTATAAACTGCTTGACCCATGTAAAAATTTTAAAGTACACTTTCCACACAAAAAATATATAAAGAATATGACTTTATGAAAGTACTTATCAATTTTGTTTTGTCTTTGAGGACATCAACTCGGGTAACGGCAGGATTTCGTGAATTATTTTTGTGGAGAAATATGTTCACCCAAAGACAAATGCTTTGCAGCTTTTCAATTATAAAAATGTACCATCCAGTCTTTCAAGAAGGCATGGTTATCATTGCCATATCAATTTCAGACCTCCCCCTGAACTCTTCCACTCCTTGCCCCACCCCCAGTCCTTCCCTCAAACAAAGGAGATTCGTTTACTGACATTTTCAGCGAAACTTTTGCAGTGACCTACGGCCCAACTCCAACTATAGCCATGGACAGCTCAGCTGATGTAGTGTAGACTAAGAATTTGTATATATTAAATTTAACAACAAAAATAACACCAAAAAAAAATAACACAGAAAAAGTGCAAAACGAGACGGCATAATAGGATGGGATATAATGTAAGATTCGGTGGTGTACACCGACGGAGTTGGTCAAGTTTTTGTTACTTTTTTGTTTTGTTTTTTGGTTCCATGTATTATGCTTGTGAAATATATTTGAGGGCTGTCGAAATCGTCTACGAAAATAATTGTACATGTACGTATATGTTGAGCATGTGATTATTTTTATATATTTTTTGGTGCTGTCGATCAGAACGTGATTGTTGGCTTGGGATGGGGGGAGATTAATCGGGGGCGGGACTTGGAGAGGGGGGGGTCTCGTTCAAAATTTGCTAGTGTAAAAACTTTTGTGCGGGTACTAGTTTTATAGTCTGTGGTTAAACACATCTTCAGATGTTACGGCCTTTAAGCATCAGAGAGGTGTTCGTTTCTGGTTGAGCAGAAATCACACTGTGCTGCTTGGGTTCGCACGTTCTCGACTTTAATAATTTTGACTGGCCGTCATTGGGGTTTTTTACTCCAAACCTCGGTTTGTGTCTGGCTGTAGTTTCAGGAGATTGATTGGGCCCCTGGCCTGTCCGTGCTCTGTTCTGGGAACATCAAATCCTATAATCTGAGACTCGAGTTTAATACAGTTGAAACCCTGCTTATAACAAGGAAAATGTTATGCCCCAAGTCTTTTTCCCCTTGGTTTCCCTTTGTTTGGCATTACATAGGCCTACCCCCTACCCTAAAACGCCACTGCTTGTTATAAATGCACAGACGTGAATTGTTGAGGAAACATATTTCAAAAGCGGAGTTTCTACACTCCACAATTTTCCAATTTATGTAAAAGCATTTCCTCGTCAGGGCAACGCACCATAAAACCTTCCTTGTTGGTGCAAACAACTGATGCTTCTCGTACTTCTCATTGAACAAAAAGCAGCATATACAGAAATTGGTAGTCATGCGTATTTCCCACAATACTTGGTTAACCAACCATAACTGCCGTGACAAAGCGTGTTGACGACCAATTTCTGAGGTAGTGGATTTTCACAATTTTTTTTTATAGTCGTCACCAATATGACTCATGATTTGAAGCGATGAACACAGACATATTCTAGCAAACTACAACTTTCTTTTTTCCATCAGTAGGGAACAAGACTCTTAATATATTTCAATCGTGTTAACAATCGAGTTGCCAAAATTTGTCTTGCCCCAAAATTGTGCCCATTTACTCATTAAACTGAAGGGGGACAAAATGCCTTAATGATTAGATACTGATTCTGGGAGAGTCTGAAATTTAACAATAAAAACTTATCCTTCAAAAAAATGTGAGGAAAAAAATTGTTTTCTGAAACCAGAGGTATGCGTTGTGGAGGAAAGATGGCCAAATATGTGGAGATTTCAGTGCATGTGTTTATCTACATTTTGTTCTGGCCAAACTGTTTTGTCGGTTGGAACAACCGGTGTTGGGTGTTTATGACAGATTGGTCAGATTCACAACACATGGAAGCCTGTACAAATCTCTGTTTTGGGGAAGAGACTGTTTTATTTCCCTATTAAACTAGGGTAAATTCTCTTCGTGATAATTCAGCAAATTGATGTCCATTTCAACCCCCGACATCCTGTTTTGTTCACGGAATGGCCTTTGTCATTTGCTTCATAATTCACGAGTTTAAAAACACCTCAGTATTATACGATTGTACAAACATGCGGCCAATGCCATGGATCTAGTACATGTAAGCACAAAAATGTTTGCTTAGTCAGTACAGGGTACCAGCCAAAGTATCATGCGATGTATATTTTTTATGGCTGGTTATCACCTGATTTACACTTTGCACTTCAATTTGCTCAACAGTTCTGTGGTATTGGGCCCTGCGTGCAAAGGGAACAGCGTTAACATTCCAATAGTCCTAAGACCAAATGACGTCCGATGTGTTTACATGTGGGCTTTCCTATGAGCGTGACGTCATTAGGTCTCAGGTCCATTTGTTGTGGGGGGGGGGGGAGTTGTGTTGATTGGCTTGATAATACGGAAACTTACGTCAGTTGTAGCATTTGAGAACAGACTTTTCAGGTATGTCCAGATATTGGTTGGGTGTTGGTAAGCCCAAATAGTCACACGGACAACGTCATACATAAGACGTGTTATTTGGGATAGTCATTGTTCTGGCTGGAAAAAAAATCGAACTAGTGGCCTGACTTGTGATACGTTTATATCTACTCTGGTTTGAGTTAAGTTCCGTTGTGCCAATCCTTGTGAAGGTTGCGTGGCTTTTTCCCTGTTCTGTTTTGTAAAAATAAAAAATATGTTATAATGTAATGGTATGATAATGCATGGGACTCGTAAAAGAAAAACTGGCACAGTTTCCCTTTTTTTCGGGAAAAAAAAAACACATGAACATCAAAATGATCATGAAACTTTTGCCTTCTATATATGACACAATTGGGTTAAACTGACATCACCGAGCCAAACATCATTTTGTTATGCCCTGTTATCTGTATACACTCTCTGTCCAGTTTGCGTCGAGACTAGCTGTTTTTGGATGGGAACAAGAACAGAACTGTTTCTGCTCCGTTGGTATTTTGTAATAAATTAAAGTGGCTGATGAGTGCTATGCTGCAGGTGTCGGGCCGGAGTTCATTGTCTGGTTTGTATAGTGTACGCCCTTAATGTGCCTGTACATACCAAAAAAACAAAAATCACAATCAATTGGGAAAACTGTGTAATTATGTAATAAAAGACTGTAATAAAAGACTCCAAATGCACAACAAAAATGGGCCTACTTAAACTATGTATCCTATCCCAAACTGTAATATATGTATGAACTTATAAAAGAAAAGTTATGTGCAACTTGACACGGTAGACTCAAATTGTGGGTGCGACATTGAATCACTTTACATGTACTTTTTCTATAATGTACTAAGGGGAAAATAAGTAGCCAACAGATGAAGTTCTGTTTTCAGTGGAAAAAAGGTTTTGGCGGACTTAAGATTAGGACTTTGAAAATGATTGTATGAAGACTGTATCTTTTCTGTTTACAACCCATAGTCTGGCCTACAAAATGTGTTTAGCGAGTGAACACAATTCTTACTAATGTTTTGCTATCACCTCGTGCTAAAAGTATTTAGCAAGTTAACATGCTTACAAACTGATAGCAAGAAAGTGTTTAGAATTGTAGGCCAGGCAAATATCCACACAGGGGCAATTAGGCTACCTTTGTCCCAATGCCTAAAATTGAAAACTTGGTCCCATGGTCAATTTGACCTCTCTTGGAAAATTACTCATAACTCTGTCAAAAACCATTAGATTTGGACGATTGATGCTTTATTTTAAAGTGGAAAGGCGTATCTTTTAAACCATACCTATGTTATCTATCTAGGTTACACATCCTACGTCTGGCATTCTGCTATATTTTGTTCGCATTTTGTTTTGATACACACTGTACAAAGTGACTTTTTGGTAGCAACCTCAGTCCAAAGGTTTCGAGCAGTACGCTCCCACAACCTGCTCTTGACGACGAGGTTGAAAGTAAAGTTGGCCCCGAGGACAAGGATGATTTTAAAGTGCCCTGACCACATGGTTGTTTTTAAAAATGCATATCTGTGCCTACAACCACACTTGTGTCAATATGTCATACCCATGAATATTTTTTTATTTACCATTATTTGTGGTGTACAATAATTGAAATGGTGTAAATCCTCTATTGAACAGGACCACAACAGAATGTGCCAGCCATTATAGGGGACAAAATGGCCTACGAAAAAAAACTTGCTGACCACATTTTGTAATAGGATTACTGTAATAACGTATAACTGAAGTGAATGTTTTTGTGATTTGCTTCTTTTTTTTTTCATTTCGGAGGGAACATACATTGCCACCGAATGGAACCTCTCATTGTAGGGACATAAAATATGAATTTGCGAGGGAGGAGACTGCTCAACAAAGACAAAAAAATATACTGTTTAAAGAGTAAAGAACGTGGATTGTAAAGGTAAAATAAAATAAAAACTATGAACGTGTACGTCTATTGTGTTTGTTGTCTGTTTTATTGACCAACAATATTTTATTTATCTCCCACAAGAGGGCGCTCGAGCAGTTGCTCGATATCGCCAAATCCCATACTTTAATTATTTTGTTTAGTAGATCTGGAACATAACAAAGGGAGGTCTGAAATTAAAAACGACGGAGAGAGCTACATGTATACGTAATGCATTAAACACCCAATCCACACACAAACAAATCACCCATACTGACAATTGTATCCTTGTGGAGACATTTCTTTGTTCTCGTGTACTAAAGTTTTCGAGTTTGAAAGTACAGTTTCAAAATTCTCTTATTTTAACCAGAACTAATTTTCTTGGCTGAAATTTGGACTTGATATCTCTTTTCTAAAACTCTACCATTTGCGACAAATCAACATACCTTGGAAACTCCTATAAAATCCATATATCTATTTCGTGAAAACCTTGTGGAGACAAAGAGAAATTGCCCTGTGGAGACGTATACAATATTTTGTTCCCTATTGTGTGCATGTCTCCACAGGGCACGGTGTATCAGATCAACAGTATTATTCAAAATGAAAGCAAAGAACATTTACACAGATTAGGGCAATAGTGACTATGAGATCGTGGGTTCGAGTCCCACCCACACCTTCATTTCCCGACACAAAATACATATTGTGTATTCCATTCTAAAATACGAATTTGCAATTTCTCAAAGTTCAATGATTTCATGTTTATTTAGAGTTTCCCCACATGTTTATTTAGAGTTGTGTTCCCCAATTCCCCGTGCTTCAACAAATAACACCTCGTTTTCTCTTATTGAATTTCAACTTGTATGTTTTATACCCCCCACCCCACCCCTCCCCCAGCATTCATAACTCAAAATCGCCAAGCCGTAATTCAATAACTAAACATTGGCCGGTTGTTCTCGGTTGATGTTTCATTTCAAAAGTGAATAACTTGTGTATTGCTAGACAAATAGCAATTTAGAAGAACTCAACAATTGGATGAAACTCGAACAGAGCACAGGGAACACAATTACTGATTAAGTACGGAAATTTATCACCAGACGAGATTCCGTCCAAAATGTGTAATAAGCGTTGTGAAACTAAAGGGGAAATGTTCATTTAATTATAGGCTTAAGGCCTACACCAAGGCTTGATGTGTTGAGATAATGCTTACATTACGGTAAGTTACTGAATCCATGCATACAGCCTGTCGGGCATCGGGTGTCGACGGCGAACTCTTGGCATGGGGCCGGCCCGCCCAGGGGACCGTCAGGGGCTTTCCCTCCTGCATGTAGCAGTCCGTTACCATGGAGATTTCTTGACGTGATTCTAAGAAAGTATATAAGATCGTATATATTATGCTGTTGTTAGGTTGCGGGGTCAAAATGACACAGAAGGCAGATCCATAATTCAAGATATTCATGAACGTTCACACGCTAGTATTCGCCATCATGACAATAGACCTACTTCTTGGAAGAGAGCAGTTCGAAGAAGATGTTTTGTTTAATTGGTACCTTCTAGTTCAATACCAGTCAGTGTTTTCCCATTATGTCTCGCGTATTCGTTCGTGGGGGTGACAATTACTGTGTGTGTGTGTGTGTGTTGAGTGACAGTTCGATTGTCTGAAGCGGTTTGATAGTCCGAAGGTTCGATAGTCCAAAGGGTTCGATAGTCCGAATGTTTGTTAGTCCGAAGGTACCCCGCAAGTGAAATCTTTAGAAATAGGGACAAAGGGACAACAATGGAGGTACCCCAGAAGTGTCCGCCCGCTGGAACGTCCGAAGGTTCGTTAGTCCGAATGTTCAGTAGTCCGAAGGTTCGATAATCCGAAGGGCTCATTAGTCAATTTTTTTATAACCGTTCAATAACGTCCTGAGGCTTCAGTAGTCCGAATATAAGGTTCGATAGTCCGAATCGACAATAAGGTTCATCAGTCCTAACTTACACTGTGACAACATTGAACATTATTGTAAATTCGGACTGTTGAACCTATGTGCTTTCGGATTAATGAACCTTCGGACTATTGAACCTTGTTTCTATCGGACTTTTGAACATTCGGATCACCTACCGCAACTAACCTTATTCTAAATTCGGACCACCGAACCTTCGGACAAATTATCCTCCGGATTACCGAGCCTTTGCACAAACGAACCTTCGGACTACAGGGTGAGTAAAAGAAAATTGAACCCAATGTAGCGCTGTCGTGATCCATATGAAAGCCCAATTAATAAGCATTCTTTTAGTGAAAGAATAATTCAAATCGCTCATGTACTTTTCCATATATGACATTTTGAACACAAACACTTTTTTTAACCTGGATCACAGTAAAGTTGAGTGGTATTGAAGCAAAACGAAAACTATTCACATACCAAAAAAAAACTACACCAGAACACTCTCATATAACTGACACTTAGGCCTAATTATCATTGTCTAAAAAAAACGCTGCTTTATAATGTCAAGAGTTTATAGTCTTGCTCTGCCTTTTACTTGGCTACCCCGGAGACTTATGAGATTATTCTGATCATTTTCAGGATACGGTATGGTATTATTTTGTTTTTACTGAAATATCACGTACCTTAAAGGTGATCCGTGGACAAGGTTAAAAAACGGTGTTTGTGTTCAAAATTCCTTGACTGGAAAAGTACATGAGCGTTTTAAGTCATTCTTTAACTAAAAGAAAGCTTATGAATTGGGCTTTCATATCCTAGATCTGGAAAGCACTACATGCACAACTTCTTAAACGAAAACAAATAGGGGACACCAATTGGGGTTTACTTACCCTGTAGGCCTATTGCTTCAAATACTCGGATTAACGAACCTCATTTCATTTTCGGGACTAATGAACCCCCGGTTATGGGAAATGTGTGTGTTCAGACTATCGAAACTTCGGATCATTAAACCTTCGGACTATCGAACCTTCGACTATCGGGCGGACCCCTAAGTTTGCATGAAAATATATCTTCAAAATGATTGAGTGAAAACCATAACTTGTTGAAGAGATTTACGCATTGTCTTAAAATGAGCCGTCACGCCGAAGACATGGCATCATCATTCTTGCCAGAATGACGAATCATCTTTTCAATTCAGACGCTGTTTCACACAACGTTTTCTCCGAACCACAATGCGTCACGGTAATGTTGGTTTACTGTGAACCATATACCTTTGAAAAAAAGGCAAGAAACAAATCAAACATGTTTTTATAAGTTGCTATGTAGACACATCGTTGCCATGCGGACATTTGACTAGTTTTTTGTTGACGTTCGTACTTTCACCATAATTTTGAATAGTGCATGCCATGTGGGTGGTGCGATGTAAGGTAGTCGGCTTCGAGTGAACTAATAGTTCGCAGGGGGCGAATCAAACGCCCCCATCACTTATGCTGTCTTCCATGACGTCGATCGCAGCCAGATTAATTGCACACTACTTTATTGTGAAAACGGCGTGTGTTATCAGTTTACTATATGGTGGCCCTGAAGGGACATCTCATATCGCAAACGTGTGCGCATACGTATGCGATGTCGCAAAATTTATCGCGAACGTGTGCGCATACGTATGCGATGTCGCGAAATTTATCGCGAACGTGTGCGCATACGTATGCGATGTCGCAAAATTTATCGCGAACGTGTGCGCATACGTATGCAATGTCGCGAAATTTATCGCGAATGTGTGCGCACACGTATGCAATGTCGTGAAACAATTCGCGAATATGTGCGCACACGTATGCGAATGTGTTTGCAATGTCGTGAATTTTATTGTATACCTTGTCGCATACCTTTCAGTAAAATTCCTAATGAACTGGGGAGTTGTAGCAGCTAGTCTGGAATCTAGACGTACTGTTAGATATAAATAGGGTCTGACTAATAAACCTTCGCACGCACGCTGTTCCTCGCGCAATCGTTACTACTAGTACTGTCGAGCGCAAACTTGGTACTTGCGCAAGTTTAAAACTTGCGCGCGCAAATTTGAAAGTTGCGTAAGTAGCAAGTTCGCGCTCGACAGTACTAGTAGTAACGATTGCACGAGGAACAGCGTGCGCGCGAAGGTTTATTAGTCAGACCCTATTTATATCTAACAGTACATCTAGATTCCAGACTAGCTGCTACAACTCCCCAGTTCATTAGGAATTTTACTAAAAGGTATGCGACAAGGTATGCAATAAAATTCACGACATTGCAAAACAAATTCGCATACGTGTGCGCACATATTCGCGAATTGTTTCACGACATTGCATATGTATGCGCAAACGTTCGCGATAAATTTCGCGACATCGCATACGTATGCGCACACATTTGCGATACATTTTGCGACATTGCATACGTATGCGCACACGTTCGCGATAAATTTCGCGACATTGCATACGTATGCGCACACGTTCGCGATAAATTTCGCGACATCGCATACGTATGCGCACACGTTCGCGATAAATTTCGCGACATCGCATACGTATGCGCACACGTTTGCGATATGCGATGTCCCTTCAGGGCCACCATATTACTAACACACGACAACATTTTCTTAGAGTTACGATTAACTCTGTTTTTCAAGCGTGCGGCTCTCATTACGGAAGCCGCTTACTTTTTAGTCTGTTCAAAATTCCAACTCTGTAAGAGCCGTAACAACTGGAATATTCTTCGTTTTCCTACACTGATGGACGACACGCGTACCAGTAGTCTATTATCTTTACACCTAGCAATAACTGGTTCCGATCGTGCAACTTACTGCAATTTATGTGACAGTTGGAACGAGATATTTGTGGATTGGAAATTATTTCTGAGACTAGTTACCTCCGCCAAGGAAGTTATGTTTGCATCGGCGTTTGTTTATTTGTTGGTTGGGTGGAAATTGTCGGTTAACACTCCGATAACTCAAAAAGTTATGGACCGATTTTTGCATGAAAAAAGTATAGTGGTTGTCGTCAGTACAAGTATACCAATCGATTTTGGAAGTGATCCGGATCTGAGTCAGGATCCAGGATTTCTTTTAAGGATTCTTCATGTGGGTATTTCTTTTGGGTGTACATGCAATATGGAGGGGAATTGCCTATTCTTGGCGGAGGTTTGCGCTCTCTGAGAGCTTTCTAGTTGGAGGTATTTCTGAGATGGGTTGAAAATATTTCTGAGATGGGTTGGAGATATGTCTAGGATGGGTCGGAGATATTTATGAGATGGGTTTGAAATATTTCTGAGATGGGTTTGAAATATTTATGAGATGGACTTGAAATATTTCTGAGATGGTTTTGAAACATTTTTGACATGGGTTGGAAATATTTCTGACATGGGTTGGAAATATTTCTGGGATGGGTTGGAAATTTTTCTGAGATGGGTTGGAAATATATCTGAGATGGGTTGGAAATATATCTGAAATAGGTTGGAAATATATCTGAAATGGGTTGGAAATATTTATGAGATGGTTTGGAAATATTTCTGACATGGGCTGGAAATATTTCTGAGATGGGTTGGAAATATATCTGAAATGGGTTGGAAATATTTCTGAGATGGGTCGGAAATATTTATGAGATGGTTTGGAAATATTTCTGACATGAGCTGGAAATATTTCTGAGATCGGTTGGAAATATATTTGAAATGGGTTGGAGATATGTTTTGGATGTGTAAGATATCTCCGTGGTCAGAGATTGCAAATACAATGTTGTGGATAGGGAAGTTGGAGGGTCAGGTGTATTAATTAGATGTAACACTCCCATGCAAACATACATTCTGGGCCAAGTTGTCATTTCAGTCAAAATCAATCAAGTGACTCTTTTCAACATTTATACGAGCTCCCAGCCTACATAAAGCAGGATTGACTGGCTGTGACAGTTATGTAACTTGATACAGCTGTGCTTTGACTGTAAGTGATTGATAAGCCAGCTGTGCCAACCTCTTGCCTGGTTTTTGTCTCTTGACTGAATTTGACTGGTCACAGTACTTGCTTGAAATATGATCTGACTGTTGGTGACTATACCTGTGCAAAAGGCATGGCAGGGGAAGCAGATTGATTTTTGACTGTCTGTGACTGTTCAGACATATAGGCCTGGGAATCAAGCTGCGTGACTAGGACTCTACGAATCGCCTTTTTTAACATTTGGACATGGTCGGGCGATTGGTTACTCAGACTCGCAAGCCAAGATCCCCAACGATCAATCATCTTCCGGTATCCGCCCAGCTTTGCTTAGATATTGATCGAGAACAAAGTTGTGTAGTATAGGCCTAAGCCTTGACGCAAAATGTAGGACACAGTACGCAGGATCACCCCCACTATATGGGGAACCCTTCCACTTTCTATATTAACGAGTATTGAGCAAAGCTTATCTAATATCACTAATGATCTATTATGTCTGATAGCCTCGAGCGAGCTAGGCTTACGTGCGTGTGGCGTGCAGCATCTTTTCTACCAATCAAGTTACGAAAGATGCTGACGTCTATGCACTCATCCGTGAAATATCGATTGTCCAGAGCTGGTCTCATTGTTGTAGGCAAACGCCCTCGCTGTCAACCCATGTGAGAGTCACGGACTTGAAAGTACTCCCGAATGCCCAACAACGCCACCACCGGTGATGGTGCATGAAGTGCCCATGATATAATCCTCAGAGCTTCATAATCAAGACGTACAACACGCAGTGAAAACACGCCGGACGACTGGCGTGTAGTTTTACGATCGTATTATTTGCACAAGGTATCAGCAGAGTGTCCTTCACCAGTTATATTACATTATTTACCCGGAGTGTATAGTATACCTTGTGTGCCATCTTTTGGCTCACCCCCAGGGTTCGGATGATACAGAATTTCTAGTGGGCCTGAGCCCTGGTAATTCAGCCAACATTGTAATTCCTTAGAAGGCCTGTCCGACCGGGCTGGTCTTAGTGCAGATCCGTGCCGTCACCTGTCCGATTAACCGACCATGGCGTCCATAACGACGGCGTGGCTGCGGGTCATCGCTTCGCTAACTCTTCTCGGAATTGTATGCGGTAAGTAGTGGCGGCTGTGCTGGCCCTTTCGCTTTCTTTCCACTGCAGGAAAGTCTAAACTGACATGTTGTTTTCTTTCACAAAGGTCTAGGCCTTCGCATTTCTTTTCAGGTACCGGTGCTGTGCATGGTTATTCCCCTTCCTCTATGGTTGTGCTTAACTGTATTTGTATAGCTGGTTAATGTGCGTAAATTGATTTTTAAAAAGAAAGGAAGAGGAAAGAATAGTGCATCCTGATACTATCTCAATGAACGTGAGACTGAGAAACATATTTTGTCCAATTTGTGAGAAATTACAACTCTCCATAGAAATATACTTTGTTAACGACCAAAGAAGTGGAGTCTGGATGCTACTACTAGTACTGGGCCTACTACATTCTTTCCCGAGAAAGACACCGCTAGACCATTCCACCTCCATGGCTAGACAGACATAGCTTTAGGTCCCTGTCTGCTTTGTGATCTTTTATATTTCTGAAATACCCCATTAAAAGTGTGTGTGTGTCCTGCGCGAAATCACTCAGAAATTATGCTCAATTTTTTTTAAGTAATGAAAAAAAAACACTGGTGCAATTCAAGCCATTGTAGGGCTACCTTTTCCTGCCCTCGAAGGGCATTGTTCTGTCGTTGTGGGTACATACATGTACACAGAGCTTGGAATACCCATCTCTATTACAATGTTCATGACATATTTCCCGTGTCATGAGCTTTAGAGCTGGCTATTCCAAGCTAAGGTATGCTTTACTTATTATTGCACATTTCCAAAGAGATGGAGGATAAATTTTGAGTGCTTCGTGGTATGTTTTTTTTTTATAGCTTTAACCATTTGTGATTCCGGTAAAATTTAAGCGTAGATTTTTTTGTCAACCAAGAACTGATGAAATTATTTTCTTGCAAAACTGAGCCAATAGCTGCATTTATAGCAATTTCCTTTTCAATATAAAAAAACGTCTGCTGCAGCCAGCTCTATTTTGACCCAGACATTCGATCTTTCAGAACTCCAACAGGCTTAACTAAAGTAAAAGTAAAGTCTGTCATGAACCAATGTGGCCCATCAGGCCGGCGTTTATCTCCGGTTTCAGTAGCATGAAACGACTGAGAATATTTCTTATTCCCCCCTGGGTGGGATGCTAGTCCATTCCAGGTTAATCCCCAGCTAATGCCGGTACCCATTTATACTCCTGGGTGGCCGGAGACTTGGGATGAAGTGGCTTGCCCAAGGACACAACATATGGGCAGCGACTGGATTCGAACCCATGCAAGGCCCTCTGACCATGAGTCACGATCCACTATTGGCCACACTAAAGGCAAATTATGATTCAGTAACATCATCGAGCTGAGGCTTGCAAAATTATCTTATCCAAATTATGCGACATTGCACTGTACGAAGCAGGGGTGCGTTTTGGCGGTCATAACCAAGAATTGGTTCTGTTGTTTCTCTTTGGCTAATGGTTTTGGGGGTTTGAGTATTGCATTACCGTGAGTAATTCTCGTCAATTTAAAATTCCCGCAGAAATTCACTGACAAGAAAGAACCGAACCAATTCTTGGTTATGACCGGCAAAACGCACCCTGATGGGACTCTATACGGATAAGTACGCCCATGGGGTACGCCGCTGTCTGAAGGCTGCATTGTTTCATATCTATTGTGTAATATAAGCCCTTTTCCACACAAATCATGATCTTGCAGATAAATTGGATTAACATGTACTTCATGTGTACATGTAATTTATGGCGTGCTGATAGGCGTGTCAAAAAAGATGTTATTTGTAAAACAAGACAAAAAATGATGATAAAGCATCAGACAATTATGTCGATACGAATTTCACTTTAAGGTGTAATAGTTTCCCTATTGTGTTTGCACAAGCAATTGTAAAAATCGAAAAGAAAAACGGTAACGTATAAGTCATTTTAGTTTAACAAAACATCGAAATAATTATGATGATTAGAAAGTCGTCGGGTTTATTTTTATGCAACCGTTTAGCATTGTAAAGTTTTATTCCAGAATACAACATTATATATGCAACTTCAGTCAGATTTATTTATTCATGATAGTTTCCCTATTGTCTTTGCACAAGTGAGCAATATTGTAAAAATTATAAGAAAAATCGTAACATATAAAAAGAACCATTATTACTGTAATATATACCTGTTAATAGTACCTTAAGGTGACATTTTTCGTCATTAATTATACTTTAGGGAGACACCGAACAATAGGGAGACATTGGAACTCTTTGGAACATGAAAAAACATGAAAAAAAATGTCGGCGGGCGCCCTTCTTTAAAAAAATACATACCAACTTCAATGATTGTTTTATTCCGAACGATATATATTTCATGCGGAATAATTTCATGGTGTTTGATACCACCCCATGCACTTTCCGCAAGGTTGTTCTGATTAAATCGGTATATCCGTTACCGGGTCTAATTAGCAATGTTCCTAGTAGGTGCCTTTAACGAATGTCAACATATCGCCGACGTGATAATTTTTTTTACCTATATTGTCTGCAGGGAATTGAAACTACAGTGTATACTTTTTTCTGTATGGAGGGGTGACTACAAGAAACGGTACAAAGAACTTACTTCGTTTGAAATGCTTCTCAATGTGAGGAGAATGGTAGGCCCCTAAATAGATATGAACAACTTTCATAGTTTCGGTATAGGGAATCATCGAGAAGAATACAGCCGCTCTTGTAGTTTGTACGGTCAAGATCTGGTTCAAAATTAATACTTATTGGAGACCTATAGTCTTGAGCAACTTGCACCAATTTCAGACGGGAGTTACAGAACCGCAATGAACCAATTCTGGAGATTTGAATTGAGCACATGAAAAGTTTGTAAGATCGGCTGTGTCCAAAGATCGACTGCAGTCGTTTCTGGGTGACTTCAGGGCCTATTAAATGAACGACTATCTAAGTTTCGCCAATCTGAAACCAAATTCTATTTGACCAACTTTTAATAATCGCTCCCGCATTGTTTTGGTTCGGTGCGACTGTGATAACGGAACGCCAGTCCGGCGATTTCTTTGGGCTTACCCTATAGGCTGGTTTTCATTCTTTGGAGGGACAAACTTTCTAGATATATCGGACATATAGGGTCAAACAGCCTCTTGCCAGAAACACGACATCATCGTTGTGGAGCAAAGCTTGCGTCTGTGAAAACGTACATTGGTCTTACATTAATTGTATTTTGTTTATTTATATTTATTTCTCATTTTAACTGGGTAGCCCATTCAGTGAAATCCACTGATCTCCCATGGGTCCCAGTACAGAGAAGACAATGTGAAGAAGTTACAGTTTTAGAGGTGGGAGGTAAAGCCCAGAAGAGTATTCTGAGGAAAACCCACGGAATCAAAACCCAATCCACATATTGGCCCAGGCAGGATTTGAAGCTGGGTCACCGCGGGGGAAGGCGAGGAAAAGTACCATTACGCAAACCTGACTCCCAAGAATTTGTTGGATGTTGCAGTTTGCATAACCCATGGTAAGATTCTGCGTTTGGATGTGATGAATCCTCATAACGCATTAAACAGCTTCTATACACTCATGGATTGGTCTTAAGTCATACTACAAGTTCAGAACAGAAGAAGAGATCAAAAGTACATGTAATTCCTTCGGCGACTGACATTTTCGCTACAGCCTGTAATTGCGCGTAATGCATGCACTCGTATAGGTCAACCATGCATCGCCTGATTCGACTGGTATGCACTGCGTCTTAATTTGTCGTCTGCTTAATTGCATAAATTATTGCTCTACACGATCAGCTCTGAAGGCTTGTACTTTTCTCCAAGCAGAATGTGCGTACATGATCAATAATCGTTAGGCCGTACCCCCTTCCCATGAAAGAAATGAAGACGTGGAGGAATAAACTACATGTACTAGCTAAAACAGTTCGAATGAAATGAGACAATTTTAAAGAAAAGTTGTCAGATTTGATCGGAAAGGTCTGAGAATCTACGGTGAATAATATACAAATAATGAATGTTTGTGAGTGCAATGGTAAGAATAATTTCATGAGTTGACAGATGAAATGTTCGCCCCGTGGAATGGAACATTTCATCTGTCACCGAATTAAATTATTCTTTGTATTGCACGAACATGAAACATTCATTATTTGTTTTATATAACACCTGAAATGAACTCACTTCAAAATGGGACATTCACCAACAAAGCCCGCCTACATCTACTTCTTGAATTGTTTCTTCACAAAATTCGAATTATTCGCTGCTAGACATTAACTCGGCTCTCGTCGCATGGCTGGTTATTTTTGAACAAACCAAAAAAAAAATTTTCAGAGGGTTGCAGACGCCCAAATCGAGAATAATGATAAGATGCATCTTTGAATTATTGTTGGGTGTGTATGTTCTGTTACGCTATACTTACCAGTCAGTCATGGAACTCGAGTCGGTGCTTTTTCGGTGATGTTTTAAGCCTTAAGATCTCGTTACATTGCAAAATGTCATGTTCGATCTGCTGACGCCTTAACAGTTCCTCCTCGCCTGAAACCACCTGCTTTTTATGCAGCTGTTTCCTGTCGACATCACACCTTTTGAAATCAAGAAAGTCGAATCTTGAACCCCCCACCCCAGCAAGAAAATGTCAGTGCGCGCACTTAGCTATCCCCCCCCCCCATTATTTGTATAGGCCTAATCGTTATGACTTATGTATATTCGGGTAGTGCTTCGAATGCAGGAAACCAGTTGAAAATAAAGTCACAAAGATTGACGACGAAATGCACAATATTGATCTTTTTATTTTTCCATTAAGTAGGCCCCTAAGCAGGCTTTTATATATAGATCTAATACCTGATAGGTTATAAGCTACCTACTCATGTCCGTCATTTTATTTTCTATGAATTATTGAGTAATTTGCTATTTCAAAATGATTTGTATAAATGAGAGGTTAAAATATGAACCTTTAGAACTAGAAAAAAAATAATGCCGTTTCCATTGCTGTTGCACTTCCACGATACCATGTGTGAAATTGCGTATAGGGCCTAATAAACC